GTCGACTCGTATCATTCGGAGCACTAGTTATTGTCAGTTAATTATGATATGATAAATACAAGACGCAAGAATATCACACTTTTCAATGTTACACAATTCAAATTATTTATATGGGGTAATCTAAATATGACAATTTTTTAATTATCATAGATTTAGATTATTATAAAAATCTTTCGTAATTGTATGTTAGTACAAAAAAAAGGTCTTGGACAATTGTGATTATGATTATTTAATAAAAAGATAGATAATTATTCAGGAAAAAATTCTTATATTTAATTTTAGTGTGGAAAGAAAGATCTAAAAATCTTAGATAATTAATTATTATTAATTTTGGGAAGAGGAGTGACGGGAGATGAAGAGAAGTGATAGGAGATGAAAAGGAGTGATGAGAGATGAAAAGAAGTAATGGGAGACGATGAGGAGTGATGGGAGGTAAAAAGGTATGATGGGAGACGAAAAGAAGTGATGGGAAGATGAAAAAGAGTGATGAGAGACAAAAGGAAATGATGGGAAGTAAACAGGAGAGAAAAAGAGATAATGGAAAATAAAAGATGTAATAGAAAATAATGGGAGACGAAAGGATAGAATAATGAAAAGTAATACAAAAAATAAAAATGATCATGATAGGAGGTTGGGTAATGATAGGAAACCAAGTAAAAAATAAAACCATAAAGTAAAAATAAAATGAAGTTAGTAAGAAACTAAATATAAGATAGAAATGAAATAAAAAAAATAAATAAAAAATAAAAAACATACCTTTATTGATTGTAGAACCGAAAGAACTAAATATCTAAAAAAATATGGAATAAAATTGGTGAAAAACGAAATATGAAAAACAAATTAAAAAAAAAAAATTTTATAAAAAAAAAATTTCTAACGAAATTCTTATTAAAAAAAAAAAATTTCAAGCCAAAATTCTCAATACTCTTATTTAAAAAAATTATTTACAATAAAATTTTCTATTAAAGGACTTTTAAACGAAATTCTTCATCAAAAAAAGACTCACTTATAAAAAAACCTTTCAACCAACAAAATTGTCAAAAAAATTCCTCTATTAAAGAAAAAAATTCTTACCTATTAAAAAAAATTCTCAAAAGAATTTCTATATCAAAAAAAAACTTCCCTCCTATTAGGCCGGGCAAAAAAAGTTTTTAGATTCTCGTGACATAAAATTTTAAAAATGACCCGGTTGGCTGGCATTTTTTTATTATATATGTAAAATTTTTTCATATGCAAAATTTTTTACGCACATTAGTCAAAAACTTAAAATTACGTGATAAAAATTTTTTACTATAAAAAAAAAATTCCATTTTTCGAAAAACTGACCCGGCCAGGTCATGAGAATCTAAATTTTTTTTTTGCCTGGCCTTAGTATAACAAACAATAATTATTTTCTTTATGAAAAAAAATTCTTTACCGAAATTCTATATCAAAAAAAATCTCTACGTTAAAAAATTTCTAATGAAATAATCTATCAAAACCTATTCTCTAACGAAATTCTCCACCAAAAATATTTTCACCTAGTATTAAAAAAAATTCTCAAAAGAAATTCTTTATCAAAAAAAGCTCCTTCCTATTAAAAAATAATTCTTTAATGAAATACTTTATCAAAAAAAAAAAATCTTCCCGTTAAAAAATTTTCTAGCAAAATTATCTATCAAAAAAAACCTTCCCTATTAAAAAATTCTCTAATAAATTTTCTATAAAGAAAAAATTATCAATGATTTTTTTGCATATTATTAACAGTTACTGGAAATGTAACAAAAAAAAGAAGGCAAATTTTTTTCACTAAAAGTTGGTAAAAAAAATTTTGTGGTACAATATCCTCTTTAAGTATACAATATATGTATATAATTAAAGTTGGCCAAAATTAATTAAATCGGGATAAATTTGCAAATCAATAATTCATAATTTTGGCCAAAATTTTGTTAATTCTGGCCAGATTCATAATGCCGGCCTAAATTTAGGTAAAATGAAAAAATTTAGGTTATATATCACATCAATATAATCAGTTTAATTAAAAAAAAAATTTTAAACTTATTGACCACTTCTACAATTTTATTAAAAAAATATTCACATAATCTTTAAAAAAATAAAAGATCGAAAATTAGTACTATTATGAACAATGACAATTGCGCCATGAGTATTAATCAAAAATTCATAAAATTTGAAATACAAATATTTTTGACATTGCTGAACATTTTTTACTTAATTTACAAAGTCGATTTACTTAGAGCCAAAGTGCCGAAATTACGCTCTGATGTTTCAGATCAGGTGTATAAAATATAAACACTAATTACGCCATAAGCATCAATCAAAAATTCATGATAATTAAGATGTGAGTAGATTCGACAATGCTGAACAATTTTCACTTAATTTAATAAGACGATTTACTTAGATCAAAAGTGCCAAAAATACGCTCTGAAGTTGTTGATCGGGTGCAAAAAAATTTAAAGATCGAAAATTAGTACTGTTACGAATAATGACAGTTACGTTATGGATATTAACTAAAAATTCATAAAAATTAAAATACAAGTATTTTCGATCTTACCGAACATTTTCCACTTAATTTACAAAGTCGATTTACTTAGGTCAAAAGTGCCGAAATTACGCTCTGAAGTTGCTGAACGAAATTTAAAGTTAGTTTAATTATAAAAATTAAAGCAGTTACGCCAGTATTATTAATAAACTTACAAAATTTGAGATTTAGGTAGTTTTGATCTTTCTGAACAATATTCACTTAATTTACAAAGACGATTTACTTAGAACCAAAATGGAGAAATTACGCTCCAAAAGTTTAATAATATTAAGAAATAATGTAATTTTTCTATTTTTTCGTATTTTATGTAAAACCTACCCAAATAACCTCCATTACAAGCTTAGAAAATTACATATATTTTTGCTTTTAAAACTGCATATTTTTTTATACTTCAACTTTAATCTTGAAAAAAGTGCGTTTTTAAGGGGAGTTTTTTGTGAATTATAAAAAAAAAAATTGTTATTAAAGATCAGAAAATAAGGATAGAAATTGATAGAACACACGATAATCTATTAATTTTTTAACTTGTATAAATATAGTATATTGGAATTTAGCATTTAATTATAATTTGCTCAATGTTACACAAAATAATTTTAATATGAAAATGATCTGCATGAGACATTACCAGTGACTGTTAAATATAATTGTTATTTAAGTCGGGATATGTTTTAAACCCCAGATAATCAGTAAGACGCTATAAATGGAATCCAAAAGGATTTGATTTCCATAATGGAAATCATTGTACGATCGACATGAAAAACAACAAGAGACATGTTGTTTTATAACAAGTGGCATGTTGTTTTACAATAAGTGACTTGTTGTTTTTACAACATGTTTTTGAATTGTACGGTACGCCATATGTATATGGCAAAAAAACGAGGATCATTTTTTTTAACTTCGTTGTAAGGAAAAAAAAACTCAGCATTTGTCTTTCAAAACCCACTTAAAATTATTCGTTAGAGCCAGAGTTTCTGTCTTTCAAATAAATATTAGAAATAGTATATAAATAAATAAGGTTTATAACGAAAAACTAATTTATGAAGCCACGAAACTTTGAGCGTTAATAGTACTATTACTTTAGTAATTTATGTCAAAACATTGAGCATTGCTTATTTTAATGAAAATTTTTACTAATCTAATTTATATTTTAAATACACTATATATATATAACGATAATTTATTAAAAAGTTATTTTGTTAAATTTATTATTTAATAAATGATTAAAATTTTTAATAACTGGATAAGATATTCTTTATATAAATATTTTAAGGTATATTTTATGTTGATTGTTCTTGAGAACTTATAAAATATTCATCTTTATCCCGTTAATTCTTGGACACGTAATTTATTAAAATGATCGCCGTATAATCATTAAAATTGGTCAACGTGAAAGAAGCAAAGATTTGATTTTTACTTCTTTTTGAGCAACCATATTGAAGATTGGCACATTGTAACTCTATCTTGAACAAAAAAGAATTTCATTTATTGCCGATCAATATTAATTCAATGTTACACATGTTGTACAAGCGAATAAATTTATCCGCTTTTTTTTTTATATTTTTACGCTTCATATATTAAAGTATAAATATTATCTGTTATTTCGAACTTAATAAGTAGATTGCCATCCATATATATAAAACCTAAATCGTACAGAAATATCAAAAAAAATGAATTCTAAAGAAAATCTTAAAAGTTTATGGAAGAAATTCGGAGAATCAAAATATAGCTATCAGGTAAAAAATAGTTCATTTCATCATTATTAAAAACAGTATTATTTTTTTAAATATAATAATAGAATTTTTTTTAATTATCTATTATAAAAGGAACATGTTACAATTTCTACCATAGATTCTATGGAAGAGCCAGCTAGAAAAGTAGTTTGTATAAATGACTTAAAAAAAAGAAAACGATTGTATGGAATATGTGGAGAATGTAATGTACCTGGAACAGGAGAATATTGGTGTCAATCTTGTAATGCTGGTAGGTCAAAAAATAACTTTAAAAATTGGACTAGTGGAAATGAAGATATTGATGAGTTTATACAACAATCACAACTTAATGCTGTGCATCATAAAAAATATCTTGAATGGATACCTTTTGAAAATATTAAAAATGTCACTTATATAACCAGAGGTGGATTTGGCAAAGTTTATTCGGCAAATTGGGCCAAAGGTTTTATTCTTTATTGGGATATTGAAGGTCAAAAATGGGAAAGGATTAGTAATGTAAAAGTTGCATTAAAAAGTTTGAATAACTCTTCTCATATAAGTACAGATTTTTTAGATGAGGTAATTATAATAAGTAATGTAATTTATTTGCTTTAATCTTATTTATATTTATATATTTATTAAAACTTTTTCCTATAATCCTTCATTAGATTAAATCTCATCTACAAATTTATCTTTATGATGTTATTCAATGTTATGGAATAACACAAAATCCGGTTACCAAAGATTATATAATGGTATTAGAATATTGTGAAGATGGAAATTTGAGGAATTACTATCTGAATAATGAAACAAATTATTATTCAAAAATTTATGAACTAAGAGATATTGCAAGTGGACTTCTAGATATTCATAATGCTGGAAAAGTTCATAAAAACTTTCATTCAGGCAATATATTATATGGTTCCGGTGGTTATCCAAATATAAGTGATTTAGGAATGTGTCAACCAGTAAATAATGAAGAACAATCAGTTAAAAAAGAAGGAATTTATGGAGTATTGCCTTATATGGCACCAGAACTTTTACGTGGATATCATTATACAAAAGCATCTGATATTTATTCATTTGGAATAATGATCAATGAATATATATCTGAAGAAATTCCTTATAACAATATTCCTCATAATCATGCTTTAGCTATTAAAATATGCAAAGGACTTAGACCAAATATTTTTAAATATACACCAAAATTACTTGCAGATTTGATTACTAAATGTTGGGATGCTAAAGTAGAAAATAGACCAACTGCTAAAGAATTATATCAAGCATTAAATAAGTGGGTTAGTTATGGATATGATAATATTGCTATTTATTCTCAAATGAATAAATATGATGATGTAACCAAATTAAACAGGATAAGTGAAAAAAAATCTGAAAACATTCAAACACATCCACAAGCAATATATACTAGTAGACTTTTAAATTTCAAAAATCTTCCAGAACCAGTAAATTCAGGTAATTTAATTTAATTTACTTTGATAGCAAAAAAAGGGTTGCATTACTAATAACTCTGTTTTTTAATAGATATTATTCAATCAATAATATGTAAGTAATTATATTTATTTGTAATTTATTAATTAATAAGTTAATATTTTATTAATATTAATATTAATTTATTTATAGTTTCAGAAGATTTTGATTTAGATGAATCGGTTATTCTTTAATATTTTATCAATACTTTATATATATATATTAATTTATTTAAAATAATATTTAATGAAGTATCAGAGAAATTATTTTAACTGGTAATATCATCATCTGTTTTTAATTTAGTGCGACCCTAATTTTCATCAGGTAATCGTTTTCATATCACGTGATTAATTTTGAACGAAAGAAAAGTATAATTTTAGAATATATTATCTAGATCATTTCCTGTGACTTAATTTAAATAATTTTAATATCCAAAAGAACAAACAAAACTTGTACTAATACTTTAAGATTATCTCGGTCTAATATGACTATAGTTATAACCAATAAAATATACATAATATTATTAAAAGTATAAATTATATGAAATGTTTAGTTTATTCAATAAAACTTAAATCTATTAAAGTGTAAATAAAAAATTTGTCAATTAGCACTTGTTTAGCTCTATATAATTCAATAAAAAAAGTAAAATTTTTATTTAAAAGTATAACTTTCAAGACAAATTTTGCATAAAAAGAAATTAAAGGAAATTTCTGAAACTTATAACTCGAAAACCAACTCTTACCGGGTAGATATCACGTTTATGACTTTGCAAGTGTATAGTTTGTTTTAAAAGGTCTATAAAATCATGAGAAAATTTTGAAAAATAAACTTAAAAAGAAAATTTTATCAGTAGCGATTGAAAAAAAAGGGGAAATCAAATTAGATTTATATTTGGTTACACAATTAGGAGTATATTGGTTAAAAAATAAAATTTAAATATATTCAACTATAAATTTCGCTACAATATGATTTTTTCCTATGATATATATTATTATAGTGCCATATAAAATTAACACATGGATTTTGTAATTATATTCAGTACAATATACAGTAGTTCATAATTAAAAGAATTTAATATAGTTAATTGCTTGTAATTAATTTACGATAATGAAATAAATTGTGAGCAAAATCTTTGTAAACCTGAAATATAAAAATGACATTGTCCATTAGTATTTTATACAAAATCCATTTGGTCAATGTCCACATTTTGCTAATTCTTTTAAGCGCAATTTCGTTTGTTAGAAAAAAAATAATTAAAAAATGAACGAAGATTGTATTTTAGCTTAAACATTTCATCCTGTTATTTTAAATAAATCTATAGGAATTTTTTCCTATATTAACTAATAAGAAAATAGTGAAAATATTAAATTCTTATAATTATTGTATGAATTTTCAAATTATTACAGTCAGTATCGTACAGCAGTTAGGATGTATATTATTTTATTTTCGTTTTATATCTTAACAATCTCGCTTTATAGCTTCTCATTTTATTATAGATCACATATAATTTTAGTTACAGCGTCACAAATAACTTTATTTGAAACATCGCGTCAGATGGATGATAATTTAATAAATAATATATGAATAAAGAGGCCTGTACTGATGTTTTGATTCTAAAAACTTATTAAAATAATGATTAATATATAGCCCATATAAATGTAAATATATTTGATATTTAGCCATTAACAAAAAAATATCAGGATCAGCATGATACTAGAATGATCTAATCAACCGACAATTAAATATTATGTATTAATATCTCATAAAAATATTAAATAAATTCACTGTCAAACTATCCTGCCGTAATAATAAACCTTTTTTAAACAAAAAATTTTTTATTTAGTTCTTTAACTTAAAAAAAAAAATTAGAATTATGAAATAAAAATTACCTAATTTGAGAATTTGAAATTAACTACTACTAACTGCACAATCTGCGCATGTAAAAAGATTTTAATGAAAAAAAGCATAGTTTAAAATATTCCATATTAATGTTAATTGGTCAAAGATAGAAAAAAATTTTTACCTTTTGTACTGTACATTACACGAGAAATAAAAGCTATTTTAGATTAAAAAAAAATAAATATTTCTGCCGTTCCAAAAATCGAATGACGTGATTATCACATGACATTCTCCCTCAATTTATTAAACATGAAATGGAATAATAATATCATCTAAAGTCAATATTAACCATAACTTCATATTTCATAATTTAATAAAAGTATCAAATTTTTTAAAAAATTTCAAAAAATTTAAAAATTCTCCAAAAGTCGTCAAGAATAAAGTCATTCTATTCTTCAACTTTCATTTTCACTTTTTGATTGATTCAAGCTAATTTATACAGTATATACATATTAACTAGTAATATTTTCAAGTCATTGAATCAGTTTCTAACAAATAATGTTACAATATAGTAATGATCATATATATGGAAAAATTGCATTTTGAGGTAGTTCATAAACAAACACATTTGTGCAATTCAGCAATCCTAGGCGTAAAAGATTTAATATTTTGGAAACAACTAAAATAAATAAAGCAGTACAAAAATGATACTTGCTATAAAAGTTAAAATTCTCATGATAATGATTCATTGTTTCCTATTTTGATGGATCATCACAAGTACATAATGAAATTCCCATTTTAAGATTCAAAAATTCTCACGGTAATGAGTTAATAAATTAAAGCATTTACGTGTTTAAAAGAGACAAACTTCTCGGTATTTTATCACTTATTCTAACGAGCAAAATGGCACTTAAATCCATTAATAAAGTATATTATTATTTTATTTACAATTTTACTTTATATGAGTTTTTTTATTCTCGACTACGTTTTTTGGATAAGATACTAATTAATTTATTCTCCTTTTATTTACTATGTATATTTTGTTAGCAATTGCACAATATGATAAGAGATCCACTTCCACTTATTAGTGCCGGTCCTGTTGGAGATGATCTTTTACATTGGAAAGCAACAATTATGGGTCCTGTATGTATTTTTTTTTTGTCGTATTACAAATGCGTAGAGATATATGGCTAATTTAATTCAACTATTTTTCTTTGATATTAAAATTTATTAGCTTGATTCTCCATATGAAGGTGGTGTATTTTTCCTTGATATTCAAATTCCAACAGATTATCCATTTAAACCACCAAGGGTATGATTGTCATATATACAGTATCGTAAATTTCAATTATATACTTACTCATTTATATTACTAGATTATGTTTACAACAAAAATCTATCATCCAAATATCGATAGTAATGGAAATATAGACTTGGATATTTTAAGACAACATTGGTCGCCAGGACTTTCTATCTCAAAATGTAATTTTAAAAAAAATTGGATCACATTCTAATAAACATTAATCTTAATCAAATCTTTTATTTTATCAAGTACTCTTGTCGATTTGTTCATTCTTGACCGATCCAAATCCAGGTATATTATATAATGTCGTCATCTCCACATTTTATATTCAACTCAAATAATTTAATAATGGACTTAGATTGTGGTTCACTCGAAATATCAAATCTATACAAGAATGATCGTGCTCGTTATGAAGCTACTGTCAGGGAATGGACTCGTAAATATGCTATGGGTGATTATATGACCTTTAATTAAAAGTTTTGAAAATCTCGTTTATTTTTAATGATTTATATAATGTTTTTTATTTTTTAATGTCTTTTTCCGAATAAGGTGATAATTCAAGTATTATTGAAGAACAGCAAAAAGAACAGCTTGAAACACCATACAATGTAGCGAATGCATACAATAATGCTGCTAAATGGATTTGGAAATATTGGAAGGAAGAAACCAAGGAAATAAATGGTATACTCTGTAAAGTAATGGTTTGTAAAGTAATAGAAGATTCTGATTCTCCGTGTGGTAAAACTTACATCATGCGTGATGAGCCAATTAAAGATGCAATAAATCATTTAATAAACTATCATAACATCACAAAGGTTTGTTTATTCTTATAATTAATTAAAAAAAAAGTGTTATTTTAAGAATTTATCTACCGATCTATAATTTATAATTAATGATCATCAGATCTTTCATATCCAAAAACTTTCAAAAAACGGCAGATATCAGGTGCAGATAAACGCCCTGAAGACAACCAAGAAGAATTATGGAAATTATTTGCTGATTGGATAATAGAAGATTCCCAATCTATAAATGTTATTGCGAGTTCAAAATTCCGTCAATTATTTTATAAATTTGATCCTACTTTTAATATGCCACGTCAGGAAAATATAAGCTCAATTATTTATACATCCTATGACACTTCATTTTCTCAACTTCAACAATTTATCAAGAATGAAGCAACTTCTATTTCTTTGGCAGTGGATCTTTGGAAGGCTAAAAATCATGGGTATAACTTGCTCATTTTTGGATAAAAAATTTGAATTACGTGAAGCAACATTAGCTTGTGTTAGATATCCTTACACTTCAGAACATATATTGGATGCTCTTAAAGATGTGTTGACCAGATAGAAAATTCGTGATTTGATATTTACTATTACAACAAATAACAAAAGTAACGTTAAGAAAGCAATTCTTGACATGGGAAAAGTAAACTGGTTAGGTTGTACTGCGAATACATTACATTTAGTAATTGAAAGAGCAGTAAAACCAGCTGAAATATTGATTGCACGTGTTAAGCGTTATGTAGACTGTTTGAAACAAAACGAGTTTCTTGAAGAAGAAGAAGAAAATATTGTAAGTATATCAAAGTATTTTTTAAAATTTTTTTTTAAAAACGTGTATTGATAATTATATATATCACAGAATCCTGCAGAACTTTTACATACTATTATGAATTTTCCATCACAATATTCTTCTGATTGTTTTGCTATAAAAGATTATAGAACGTTTGAAAAAATCAGGTTGACACAAAATGAAATGAATTTGATTCGGGATCTTAAATCAATTTTAGACCCATTTTTAGAAATTACTGAACTTTTGAAAGGAAACAACACCTATTCTTTAATTAATCCTGTATTACTTGAAATCAAAAATAAATTTTGTTCTGAAAGTGGGAATAATATGGAAATTAATTTTGAAGATGAAGTAACAGATCGTAACAGAAGAATTCAAATTAATGAACTTGTAGATTGTACTGGACTTATTGATAGAATAAAGCTTAATCTTTCTGCTGCTATAGATCATTATTGGAAAGATATTTTGGACCCAAATTTCATTTTTTTTAGTATTTTAGATCCTAGGATAAAAAATTTATCCTTTGTATCCAGTTCAAAAAGATATGCAGTTGAAGATTTATTGTATAAAAAATATAGAGAAATGAGATCAACAATGGAAATTGAACCTGATAAAAATGTGGATATTAAGCAAAGCCAACAGAAAACAAGTTCAATCTTAGCTAGTTTGAAGAAACCAGCTTTTCCCATACATGTTAATGAGGTTACTGAATACTTAAATTTAGAAGAAATTGATTTGGAATGCAATCCCTTTATATGGTGGAAAGAAAGAAAAGATAAATTTCCTATTTTATGCGATCTTGCTATGAAGTATTTGTCTGTTTATACAACTTCAACTATTAATGAGAAATTGTTTTCTAATGCAAATAATTTAATTGACAAAGATAATTCTGAATTATTTAAATATATGATATTTTTAAAGCAAAATAGTAAGAATTTAAAATCAATTCATCATTAAATCTTAAAATGATTATATTATATGAGTATATATTTATTATAGTCTGAAATTATTTATCGAAAATTTTAACAATAAATTTTTGCTTAAAGTACTGTATCTGTACTGCCGGTACATTAGAAAATATGTGTCAATCAGTTTGTGCGCTCATCACCGAAAAATCATTTGCCAACTTTTAGGTTTTTACTAACAAACAAAAATAGCAATCAAAGAACTAGCTGTAACTTGTTTCGTTGCAACAGGATTAATGTAGTTTAAATAAGTTTAACGATCAGTATTAGATTATCAGTGTTAATTTATATAAATAAATAAATACAGTGAAAATTGAATAATAATAAATAAAAAAAATTGAGGAAGTTAAATAAAAAAAAATGAATAATAATAATAAAAAAATGATTTGGCTTTAAAAAACTGAAAAATAAAATATTTTGAAACCGATTAAAATTATCTTTTTTCTTAGTTTGAAAAAAAAATGAAAATAAAAAATCAATTTTCTTTCGGTTTGAAAAAAAAAGAAGGTAAATCGTGTGTTTCCATCATATTTTTAAAAATTTCGGTCTATAAGAACCAGAAAAATGTATTTTTTTTTTTTTTAAAAAAAAAAATAGTTATAAAAAAGTAATTTGAAATTTCATAATTATTATTTTCAGCAGAAATGTTGACATATTTTCTTTAATTTTTGTTATGTTCAGTGTGTTTGATCTGTGCAACCAGTTCATAAATAGTTCATATTCATTCAAATTGCGAAAATGTTAATAATATATCTTTAATGAAGATAATGAACATAAAACAATCAATATATTATCACTTATTAGATTTCATCTTATATTCATTTTATATTTTGTGCTCAAAATTATCGTTTATACATAATCAAGTAAAAAAAATAATAATAAATTTATTCAATAAGTGAGAATTTGTATATTAAATCTTTTACGTCAAAAATAAAGTTACTATTAATATTCTGATAGTTTGATAGTTTAAAGATTACATTAATTTACATAGTAGATGAACAGTCAATAATTAACCAATTTATAATTTATTTTTATTAACCAAAATACTATTACAATAAATATAGTTAGTATAAAAGAAATAATTTAATAATATAATGCTAATTAAACTAAATTCTTTGATTCTCATAAAAAAAATCATTCAGTATTATTTTCTTCATCTTGATTAATTTCATCAAGATCTACAAAATAAGCAAATTAATAAATATTAGCAAAATAAAGAACTACAGAATAAATATCTTACCTAATTCGTCTAATTGACAATCTAAACATTCTGAATCTATAAATTAATTAATATATTATTAGAACAATATAAAGATTTATTAATTATATTGATTGTCAATAGAAATAATTACTTACGTAATGCTGTTTTAGCAACGTCTATTCAAAAATAAAGTTTATTAGTAATGTAAACATTTTTTTTGGTTACCAAATAAAGTTTAAATTAAATTACCTGAATTTACTGGTTCTGGAAGATTTTTGAAATTTAAAAGTCTACTAGTATAGATTGCTTGTGGATGTGTTTGAATGTTTTTAGATCTTTTTTCACTTGTTCTGTTTAATTTGATTTTATCATCATATTCATTTGCTTGAGAACTAATATCATATTTGTGGCTATGCAATTTACTTAATGTTTGATACAATTCCTCAGCAGTTGGTCTATTTTCTGCTTTAGCATCCCAACATTTAGTAATCAAATCTGCAAGTAATTTCGGTGTATATTTAAAAATATTTGGTCTAAGTCCTTTACATATTTTAATAGTTAAAGCAGAATTATGAGGAATATTGTTATAAGGAGTTTCTTCAGATATATATTCATTCATAATTATTCCAAATGAATAAATATCAGATGCTTTGGTATATTGATATCCACGTAAAACTTCTGGTGCCATATAAGGTAATACTCCATAAACTCCTTCTTTTTTAGCTGATTGTTCTTCATTATTTGCTGGTTGACACATTCCTAAATCACTTATATATGGAATATAATTAAATAATATATTCCCTGAATGAAGGTCTTTATGAACTTTTCCAGCATTATGGATATCTAGAAGTCCACTGGCAATTCCCTTTAAATTCTCAATTTTTAAATAATAATCTGATTCTTTATTTAGAAAGTAATTTCTCAAATTTCCATATTCACAATACATTAAAACCATCATATAATTTTTGGTATCTGGATCTTGAGTTATTCCAAAACATGGAATAACATCCCAAACATAAATCTGAAGATGAGATCTAATCTAATAAAAATATTGAAGGAAGAAAATTTTAAAATTCATAAACAAAATTTATGTAATAAATTATTTTATTATTTTAATTATTACCTCATTTAAAAATTCTGTACTTATACAAGAAGAATTATCCAAACTTTTTAATGCAACTTTACTGCCACACTTCTTCCAGTTTTGATTTTTAATATCCCAAAAATAAATATATCCTTCAGGCCATTCAGCCGAATAAATTTTACCAAATCCACCTTTGGTAATATAAGTAATATCTTTAAAATTTTCAAAGGGTATCCATTCGAGATATCTTGAATAATGTACAGCATTAAGTTGTGATTGTTGTATAAATTCATCAATATATTTATTTCCACTAGTCCAATTTTTAAAGTTATCCTTAAATCTTTTAGCATTACAAGGTTGACACCAATATTGTCCTGTGCCAGGTTCATTACATTCTCCACATATTCCATATACTTGTTTTCTTTTTTCTAAATCTTCCATATAAACTATTTTATTATCTACTTCTTTTGTTGATTCAGTAGATGAACTAATAGCAGAAATTGTAACATGTCGCTTTTAAAATAAATGATAAAAAAAATTATTAAAATTACTAAAAATTTAATAATATCAAATTATTAATAATAAATGAAATGTTTTACCTGATACTCATTATAATTTACATCGTTCCATAAATTTCTTTTATTTTCTTTAGGATTCATTTTTGATACTTCCATTATATATATATAGATTACAATTTATTTATTAAATTCAAGGATAACGTTAACATATAGTATAACGAACGTAAAAAAATTTTTTAAAAATAAAATTTGCGGAGTTCGGATAAATTTTATTCAAATAAGCCCCTTATGCAGCATATGTAACACAACAAATTTGATTTAAAAATTTAAAAATTCTATATATAGTTAATCAATAAAATACTTGTTACGAAATTTGATCAGCATAAAAGAAAAATAATTTCAGCCAATAATTCCTGGAATGCCGATCATTCAAGCAGCTGAATTCTCAATGAAATTATATATGAAATTAAAATAAAATCATAAAAATTTCATATAAATACAGAATCATTTCTAAAAATAATTTAAGTCACATTTCTAATACTTCAATAAGATTAAATTAACTAAAAATTGTTTGTTGAAATAATTGATCTCATCGATATTATTTTCGTAATTGTATAAACATGTAATTTGGATATTTCACGTAAACTTCAAATAATAGATAATGATTCTATTATTGCTTGAATCTGTTATTTATAATTTTTGGATAACTATTAAAAAAAATGAAATAATTCTTCATAAATGTGAAAAGGACATTTTTTGTTGGTCAATTTATAAGAGTTTGGAAAATAAATGTAATTTGTTTTATTGTAATAATTATCATTCTTTTCATATAATAAATAATAAAAAATTTTAATATAAATTTAATTTGATAGGTTTGGATGATGAAAACCATTTTAGATAGCTATATGTAAATACAGTAATGTAAATAATATCTAATGACTTTTGCTTGACTTAGGTTGAAATATGATGCTGTTACAAATTTAAAGCTTTAAACCCGCTACTATTATCTACTATGATTGTAATGAGAGAGTCTCAGACCCGCACTTATGATGCATTATATAGCACCTTGAATAGTTCAGTTAAAGTAATACCTTGAAGACATGAAATTTTTATTTTGGGAATAAACAAATTGAATAGACGAATAATATCAATATTGTAGATTACCTACGGTGTACCGTTTGGATGAAAAGTGCCAAAATTTCGAAAAATTGATTTTTCGAATTTTTGAATTTTAAAATCTCCTTATAAGGAGATTCTCCTTATAAGGAAAATCTCCTTTTATGGCAATGTAACGTTACACAAATGTCCAAATAAAGAAGTTTGTATTACCAAATTTCCTTTTTTGGACGTTTTGTGTAACGTAGATCTATCCTATAAAAGGAAAATTTCCTTATAAGGCGATTTTAAAAGTTCAAAATTTCAAAATTTCGAAATTTCAAAAAAAAATTACCATAAAAGGAAATTTT